TTCTATCCCCCACATAAACAAGCAGTGACGTCGTAGTGAATTGGCAATTTTTTAGCAATAATATATTCAATTTTCCGGTCAAAAAAACCCAATTAAAAAAAAAATTGCTTTCTTCTTTTTTATTTTATATACGTTTTCTTACAATCTCGACGATAACTCGACCAAAAATCTCGAGCTGGTGATTAAAATAATTTGAACTGATAAGATATTCATTAATTCAGTTGAAACACAGGTAATAATTTTATTAATTTTACCGTATTCTCTACTTTCACATCCCCATAATGCCTTGCGTCTTTGGGGGGTAACCAATCAAAAAACTTTCCCAAATTGAAAGGTTTCTTAATTGAATTTATACTATACCTGCTTTTATCTGTACAAAACTGATTATCAGTTTATTCCAAGTTATTTTTGCGTGTATAGATCGTCAAGAGTTTTGGAAAAATGTATGACTTACGAAAAAAATATTTAAAATTTACCTTAAACGTCTTCAAGCTTCTATCTTTTTCTGTTTCTTTCTTCTTCGTTTTATTTTTGGATACCAAACAAGGTATTGTCAAAATTGTCTGATCAGCCTTCAGCAAAATAAGTGGGTTTTCACCCTCTGGTTACTCCCCAAAGACGCAAAGTATTATGGAGATGTGAAAGTAGAGAATTTATTTATCTCGGTTTGATCATGCATTAATTTTCCTAATTTCAATTAGTCTACCTGGCGTCTTACCCTTTTTCTTCTTCTTAATGAACATTTCTTAAATTTCCTGTGTAAGTGTAATGCCATATGACTTTATTAGTTTAGGTAATAAGACTTCATGCTGTCCAATTTGAAAAGAATTGGATGAAAAAAATTCAGAGGACTGACAAAATTGGAAGAGGCCAATAGACCGAGTCCAATTTGGCAGTCGGAGGAATTTTTCGAATTCAAATACTTCCAAATTGGACAGGCATGTAGTCCTATTGTAGATTAATTATATCATCCCAAACTATACAAGACTAATTCCATAAGTCATAGTTTTCCCTCGAAAGAATGCGAATGGAAACGATCCAAATATACAATAGTTGCTTATATGGGATTATAGAGTGATGATACAATTACCCCCATAAGCGAAATGTACCATATAGGGCTATCCAAATCAAGACGTTGACAAATATTCTTTTGATTGGTTGAAATGCCATTTTAGTGTTTAGCACGTGCTCGAAATTTGCGTTTGAAACGAAAAATCAAAACGTTATCTGTACCTGTCCTTGATTAGCTCCACCCATATTATTTATTGAGGCTACAAACCGAATCGAGACTACGGGTGTTGAAAACATTTACCTGTCGAATCTGCAACCTCGATTTGAAATTAATGCTCTTCCGGCGGTGTGACTATTACGCCGATAAGCGAAAGTCGCCAAATGAGAACATCCGGAATGAGGCTGATGTGTAATACTATTATCAAAATCATGAACATGATTATCATCAAATTCAACACTAACAAAATACTACTAAGGGGTTTCCGCCCACGCCTGCGATGCTATCCCCCGAGAGTATCGTGGACGCATGCAAACGAAACCCCGACGTCTAGAAATCCGAGTCCATACTCCGAACTTGCTATATTCTGTTTTATATTTTATCAACGACGTCTTTTATAGAAGTCAATGAAGCTCCAAGGTTTTGATTACCAGAGATGTCGTCTACTGATGGATTATACATTTGTACAGACCCACTGTTCGTAATCCTGTACGGTGATCGCACGGGCAAGTGTCTTGGAGGAGGGATTCGGTGACACTTAAATTTGACTGACACCTTGTTAATTATAATTTTGAAGGTCTTTTTGAAGAGCCGGTGATGATATCCAAATAAAAATGGGTTCAGTGCACTGTTTGCATAGCCCATGATCAAAAAGACAGCAGCCAAGATTGGGCCCTCCTCGGCATGGTAACATGAGTCACAAGCCCCGCTGACGATGAAGCTATAGATAGTATGAGGCATCCAGCATAGGACAAACGTGAAGACAATCAGCAGCACTGTCTTGGCTGCACGCGTGTTCTTCAAAAGCATTTTCTGATCTTTAATCTTCTTAGATCTGGATTTTACTCCTCTTCTATCTTGAACACCTGTGTCATGAGGAGACCGGGATGGCGAGGCCAGTTGCCCAGCTGGCAGGTTGGCATGTAAGCTGTTAGCAATGCGGTAAATTTTAAAATACAGCCCGCACATGACAACCAGAGGAATAAAAAAGTTGAATACCGAGCTGAGCATGCCATATATGGGTGAAATGTTGAAGACGCACTGGCCATGCACGATTACATCAGGGTAGACTTTCCAGCCCATGTGAGGAACCAACGCAAAGAGAAGGCAGTAAATCCAAAGACAGGCGATGATCACAAGCGCTCGTCTCTTCGTCATGAAGGGGGATTCCTTGAACCGGTTTAAAGGGTCGCTAAGTGCTTTATAGCGATCGACTGTCAGAACAAGTAGGTTAAGTATAGACGTAGGAATCATTAGGAGATACAGAGTTGTCCAGACAGTACACATGAATGCACCATGTCGCCACATCTCGTAATTTGTCAGAATTTGCTCCACATCAAATGGCATGACAACGATCGCAGTAAAGAGGTCTGAGACAGCCAAGCTAACGATAAAATACGTCGTGACTACCTTGCGGATTTTTTTATTCCAAGCAAAGGCATAGATTATCATGATACAACCAAATGCAGCAACTACCATGATAACAATGTAGAGTGCAACACTAACCACGCACAGGGCTGCACAAGTAGTGTTTATAGGAACCGTGTTGTTGGATTCCGTACAGTTGGGACACAGTTTTACTGAAGTCTTGTCGTTGCTTGCTGGTGCCATTTGTTACTCTTTAATGTAAGAAAAGGAGAGTGCAGATCTGATTTACCCAAAGACTCTCCTGGCTTTTGAAATACACCTATGAAACAAAACAAACTGGATTATTTCGAAATATTAGATATGATGAAAATTAGGATATGGCTGTAAGGCAGTTTTCTTGTGAGTGAGTAGAAATGATGCGACAAATTTAGCTGAAGTGTAGCCCATGCCGTAAATGTGTTTACATATTATAAAAAATTGAATTCTAACGCGCGCTTTTATTGTTCAAAGATGCGAGTATTTTGGTAAAACGCTCACGTCATTTGCTTTTCTCTGCACTCTGAATTTACGCTTTCATTTGAAAATTTAAATTCTGTAATTTGTGCTCTCGTTGTTTTATAAACTAGTAAAAGAGATGAGAAACAGTTTTCCGTTTTTGACGCGGTTTGATTGATACTCTGATCTAAACATGTGGGATGCTGGGAGATAACGAGAGAAGCGTGGGAAACCTATGAACTCTATACTCTATACATAGGAGTATACATGTAATTCAAATATCTTTGTCATCGCCAAAGGGGAATGGTTTCGTTTAATACAAATAACATTGAATCATTCTCAATACTAAGGTGCATGTCTTTGGTGAGAATATAAGAAGCAGAAACACAAGTCATTCCTACCTCATTCCTACCTCATCGCCTTTCTCCTAATGCCTATCGCCTTTGGTGATGACAATGTTATTGAAATAGGTGTATATCTCTTTTTTTTAAAGTCTGTTATAGAGTATATTTCTAAAACGGAAAACTTGTATGTGGTGGAGCAATCTAAAGCCAAGCGTTGTTAGTTAGGGACCTTAACCCTTATGGCACTATATCTACTCTGTCGGATTTTATCTGCGTTGCATTGATCCTTACATGCACTCTCTAAACTATGTTACAAATATTGGTTGACCGATTTGTGGCAGCCCACCACATTTTTTTTGTTTGTTTTTGTTTTGTTGTTGTTTTTTTTTTTGTTCATTAGAATGAACAATGCAACAGTTGACATGATTTATTAGTATATCTTGGTGTAAGACTATAAGAATATAGGTGTATATTCAATCAGATCAGCTAAGTATAGCTACGTAGAATGTTAACTAGCCCTGGCACTCTAAGATCGATTAAGTACTTTTAAGTGATATTTAAACGAATATTAATATCGTCTAGAATCATCTATCGATTATCATTATATAGCTACGCTCTAATATATTCAGTCTCAAAGATATTAGAAAAATCACTTAGGTCAACATTGAATGAAACAAACAACGATCTATCAGCACCAACTGCATGGACTGAGATTATGTAAGATCCTACTAATATAATGCACGCTTTTTCATCGACTTTGATCCTATTAAAGCCTTTGAAAGTCCTTTTACTGCATGTGCGCGATCTGGTAAATAAACCAGTCAGTTATAAAATGACTGCAATTGTTATAGTTAAAATTATTCACTCATGACAAAAACGCCAGTTAGAAGAATGATCTCGGTGATTCTAAAGAACTGATATAACAACACTGTGCTTATAACAAACCTGCTCTTCCTGGAAGTGGTATTACCAAACTCACCAATCCCAACACCACAGAGTGTCTAGAATCAAGTTGTACCACATTGCCTGGTCAGAAGTGGTAATTTCAAGTGAATTTCACTTGAATTGCGGGCTACCCTTTCTATTGGAGGTACTGTTTACTTTACTAGCCTTGGCGGTATATCTGTGGTTGAAATAATTTTAAGGCCAGGACTAGCTTGAACCATCTAGATCGTCCTAATCATTACAGAGGGGGTGTCGATCTCATCAGTTACGAATGATTACAGGCCTAGGGGAGTATCCAGTTACAATACTATATCATTTTATAGAATCTGGACAATTTGGGTGCTTTTGAAACCAGGTAAACAGTACAAGACAATATCCGGTGAAAGATATCTAAAGAAAGTCCAGTCCAACACGTTTGTAGGAAAAACCGTCAATCAAAATAGGTTGTTTACTTGTGCTGTTTAAATATTCTTTGTAGCGAGATCATGTTCTATTATTATAAAGATCTTTGTTCTGGTACCGAAAAAAACACAATGCAAATGACTCACGATGCCCTTTGGAACGATTTGCTTCTCAATAGTTCTCCCACATCTAAAGCCTAGCCACACCGTTGCCATGAGCTAGAGTAACTTGGACGCTAAAGTTTCTACGAAGATGGTACATGCATAACTATCCAATAAATGAGAATCGGTGACTCAAAAGAAGTTTGTTAGCAAACGTGTATAGATCTTGGTTCATAAGCGACCATTAGTGGAGCAAACAACTTATTTTAAGATTGAAGATAAACGAAATTTTAAAAAAGTCAACATTTAGATTGCAATGACAAAACATGCATATATAGTCTTCCAAAGAAAGAGTCCTATAAATCAAACAGCTTATCAATAAGAAGTCCTCACGCCTAGAAAGCAACTAAAAAAAGAAACGCGGTGTGTGAAAAAAGGGATGGCAGCAGCAACTCAGTTTTTCTCTTCTCGTTCCGTTCTTTTTTCGTTTAATTTCTTTTCGTCGTTTTGATGTACGCAAATTGGGCAAAATCACATCTCATTCGATGCCTCCATGCACACCCCTCACCGACCTTGCATGTTGCAACATACCTGGCTACAATATATTTTTTACAAAATCTTCATTGTCTTGCCTCCGAAACAATGAACTCCAACCCCATTCGCTCCCACTTACACCCTCTAGAAAACCATTGCTCGCGCCCCTCTGGGAGAGTAAACTTGACCACGAGACCACGGAAGATCAAAATATAAAATCTTTTTGTCCAATGCGCCTTCGATTTTATTTTCCAAAGACTGAAATCTCATGATTGATATTCTAAAGTCTAATCAGATAATGAACAATATCTAATCCTTCCTCAAATATTTTTAATTAACATACTGTCCGATCTATGGAGTATTTGGAATAATAACACCACCTTGCGGAAATATGCTTTACAGATTTGTATGAAGAAAAAGCAGATTTGTCGTCACTAATATTAAAGTCATATTTCGTCTACCCCATATAATACTCACAGTGTTCTCTTTATTATCATTATTGAAAATCTTTAATCAGTCTAAAATCTCCCTGAAGTGAACTAGCTATCCGGACATCGAAGAATAATCCCAGATTTTGATCCACTAGTTATTTAGAAGACGGTTGAAACCCCTAAGAAAAGGTATTAACATTTAATAAATATGTGAATGAATTGGTTGGCTTCATTCTTGGAGTTATCCGAAGTTAACCTTTTGGTGAAATATATTTTTGTAGCATTGTGGTACGTTTGCATGCATGTTACATTAGTATTTAGTGCTTTTAGGTCTTCTGCGCAATCAGTTATCATCTTCATCCTCTAAGATTCTTAGATAGGCTAAACATGCATTCAAAATCCTTGCCGAAAATTGAATTGAATAAGTAGGAATAAGGAAGAGAAGAAAAACGAGAGAATTGAAAAGCAAGAAAGGAAGAAAGGAAAGAGTATTGCAGTAAAGGAGAGAATTGTTATAAGCATTTGAAAGTTTTAATAAACGAATAAAAGAATATCTTTTTTTCTGCATCACTGTGATAATTCATGGTTTGTTCAATACTGACAGTCAAAACTGAAATATTCTAATAACTTACCTCGTTAGGAGAATGCCCAAGCACTGTTTGCTTGTTTTTCTAAGAGTGGTGAACGCAAGGAAACAAATCGAGAAACACTAGTCGCTTCGTGTGAAATTTGCCACAATTTTAAATTCAAATTATGGTTTCTTCTGAGAACCCTAAACAAGCTTATTTGATTTGAAGGCAGAGCGCATCAAGTAAGCGTTTGTTCCAAACACCGCAAGCCCGCGGTATTGTTATCATACAAGGCATGACGAGTCGGGGTCTACATTCATAACCCATGTTTTTGAACTGACTTTCTTGTACTGAACTGGTCTCCCCGCGCTGCACTACACAAGGAGTTACGCTGAACTCGTGTCCTTCAGTTAGCAATAAAAAAACTTTTCTTTTCTGTGAATGAATATAATTTATTAGCGAACGTCCTACTCACTATTCACAAAGAAACCCCAAAGAAGATTTCTACATTTAAAAGTACGAACACGGAATTATGAATATTCGATAATTTTACTTACCTTTGATGGAAACCAATTGAGTAGTTTTCTGTGAATAAAGTCTTTGCTTATAAACATGAGTCTCAATTAAATTAAAAACGGTGCTATAGCATACGTAATTCAATCTCTGTGTACAATTTTCTTGCTTCTTGTTATCTTCTAATGACTATTTTATCAAAACGATAAATTCAACTAATGGAGTTGGGAAACTAGTCGTAAAACGAACGCCCCAGGAGCACACACTTAACTGACGCTAATGAAGACTAGAATTTAATTAGTTAGGGAAGGAAGGGTTTTAAAATTCATTTTGAGTCGGAAGGTGTTAAAATCCAACTATTGTCCGAAAAAAGACAAACGTAAGACGCAGAAATATTAATCTTGGAAAAAAGACTGAAAAACCTTTTGTATTTTTTGGGGGGGATTTGAAATCTCCTTAGTGATATATCATCATCATTTCTGGTTGATGTAGGAACACCAACGACTTTTTATTGAACAAAATTTGTTCAACTTTTCCTTTGTATGTTTAGCGATGAACTTGGTAAAATTGACCAACGATAATAATTAAAAAGAATTTGAATTATTAATTAAAATGGGATTATTAAGATAATACGTCATTTTGTGACGCAAGTCAACCAACTCATCTACGACGTTGTCTATCGTTGAGTAGCAAAGCAAATAAACTATAGATGAATATGAAAGGCGTTTCGGTTCTTTCAAACACGAATCTTTAACGTGGTCTGCTGACAAGACATGCGCAATCGTACCTGGAAACTCGAAAATCAGTGGCAACAATATCACATGAATTCATTGATCAGATGCGAACTTGTTGACATGAAGACGCGCGCTTCTTAATAATAGTTCAATATTCCTTTGACTTTCAACGATC